GCCTTACTAGTAGTAACAAGAAGCTATTAAAAACAATAAGCTACTAGTAAGAGGCCTTACTAGTAGTAACAGGTGCCTTACTAGTAGTAACAAGAAGCTATTTTGAAACAATAAGCTACTAGGAACAAGTGCCTTACTAGTAGTAACAGGTGCCTTACTAGTAGTAACAGGTGCCTTACTAGTAGTAACAAGAAGCTATTGAAAACAATAAGCTACTAGGAACAAGTGCCTTACTAGTAGTAACAGGTGCCTTACTAGTAGTAACAGGTGCCTTACTAGTAGTAAGAGGTGCCTTACTAGTAGTAACAAGAAGCTTCTAAAAACAATAAGCTACTAGGAACAAGTGCCTTTCTAGTAGTAACAGGTGCCTTACTAGTAGTAACAAGAAGCTAAACAATAAGCTACTAGGAACAAGTGCCTTACTAGTAGTAACAGGTGCCTTACTAGTAGTAACAAGAAGCTATTTAAAACAATAAGCTACTAGGAACAAGTGCCTTACTAGTAGAATACAAACACTTTGCTCTCCCTGTCCATCCATTTCATGCTCCCCACGTGACTCCCTCCGCCCAAGCACTGCCTCCCGTAAGTACCCAGCTGCGTGCGTTCACCCTCCCTTCCCAGCGTCATTTTCGCCCTGTGAGGTACATTTCAAACCCCTTTCCATCCTCGGAACAAGAAGCTACGAGGGGCTCCTGGCCGTACTACTAGGAGCAAGGACGCTACTAGGGGCTCCTGGCATCGCTACGAAAGGGAGCATTCTTACTACTACAAGATATTCTTCCGCATTGCGACCACCTCCCGGGAGGCCCTAAGGCCCTAAGGTATGCGTTGACACGGTTTCCTCGCTATCCCATTCCATACTCAACAATTCAACAAAAGCACTTTGGCAATTTGAGGCGATTTGCAACTATTTGCAATTGCACTAAGGACTCTCTACTTTGGAGGCGGGAGAGAATGGATCATGAGAGATCGAATTGTCGACAAACACGAGGGCCTTCATGGAAGTTGACTTCTGCACAGATCCCAAAGCGGCTCCAACAGTCTGGAGCCGGAGCTTTCGAGTCTTTGTTTTCTTCTCTTTCGAGGCCGCTATTAGAAACAAAGAAGAACGAAAAGGAAGCAATGTCTAAACTAATATAGTTTGCTAGTAGGTTGCAGGCCATTTGCTCTTATTTTTTCCAGCGTCACTTCGCTTCGAGGCTGCAGCAGTTTGGCTACACAGCCGGGGTCCACAGAGAGGTTTCTCAAGTGTCGCGGATCCGCAAAGGGATCCTGTTTTGGCACGATTTCACAGATTCCGTTGGCGTTGCATTTGGTTTCCTTTTGCCTTCGAACAGATTAGAGAGGATTTTTCCTTCTTGTCTTCGCCGTCCAGGTCGTGATTTTCTCAAATCAACAGGGCCCTGGACGGCAGACCAGCTCTGAAAGGCTCGGGGCAGGGGGGGCTTCCTTGAAGAAGCCCTCGCACTGCTCATTTGGTTCTTCACCTTTGCTTCTGGAAACCCAAAGACAGCAGGGAACTTTCTTAGATCGTTTTCTTCTTCAACCCCTTCAATCCTCAGTTTCACGGTTCGCTTCCGATTCATTTCGGTTCGGTTCCTTACTGGTCGCGCAAGCACGCCACGGTTCCCGTCCGCCTGTGACAACGACCAAAGAACAACTGAAAATGCCCAAAGAAAAGTAGAAACGTGCTTTAAAAAGGAAGGGAACGATCTAAAGAAACTTGTCTAGGGAGCAAAAAGGGAACGAAAGAAGTGCGAAAGATCACGGTTCGAGGAAATGCGACAAGTTACGACGACCGCTGCGTGGGTGCAGGATGCAGTTGGAAGTGGCGAAGTTACTTTCCAACTTCGAGGATTTCTACGACTTCGTGCGGGTAGACCTTCAAATCTTCGTGTCAACAGCCCGCAACCCACAGAGAACTGAGAAGCGCCGGACAGTTTTCGTTCGGTTTGCGTATCTATTTTCTGGAAGAATTCTTTTAGATTGGGCGGAGCAGAAGAGTTCGGTTTTGCTTTTGGGTTCGGTTCGCCGTCAGTGACTCTCTTGTTTTGAGTCACTGTGTCTTTTCATGTTCTCGGTTTGCGCGTCCCAGGCCCGTGGCGACATCGGGGACCCCTTTCGGAAGCCCAACACCGGCGGGGTTCGGAAACGAAAAAGGATTATTCTTGAAAGCACACCTGCGAAGCGGAGACGCCCTCTGTGCGGAGAGGTGGCGTTGACCAATTGGTGAGATGGGCCAGCACTTCAACCCCGTAGGAAGAGTTGAAAGTGCGGGAAGGGTGCACAAATCGAAAGTGTTCCAAGGGTCGTTTGAGATCGTTGGGCATTGGAGTCCCTTTTTTGCACAAGAGGCGTGAAAGTAGCATAGGCCCCTGCGCTGGGCTAAGGGCTCCATGTCTCCTCCATCATAGTACTCCAAAAGCTTGCGGCGGTAGGCGAGGAGCTGCTCCGGTGGTGCCTTTGACAGAGTCAAAAGTTGCGCAGGCATATGACGCAATATGGTGTCTAAGATTCTGCCAACTAATGAAAGTGTCTCCACAATGTCGACAAATTGGAAGCCCGTCTGCTGCATCTTGTGCAATGTCAAAAGAAGGGCATGTGGCCGGCAAAACGCCATGCGCATACAGCTCATGACGACGGAGTGTGTAGAGGTGTTTAAAGGTGAGTCCACAAGTGGGACAGTCCAGTCCTGCCTCAGCCAGTGGGAGATGATTCTCCATCTCTTGATCCCCAAGGGCCTGCAACCATGCGTCAACAAGGGTCAATGATTGTTGAAGTTCATCAACGCACAACGTGTGAATGATGTCATCGGCAATGAGAGTTGGAAGTCGAGCCTCACGGCGTGCCAGTTGAGAGGCCATCCGCTCCCGAAGCACGAGGACCGGGCGCTGAAGTTGGTGGTCCCAAAGAAAGTCCAAGCGCTTGTGGTGAGTCAAAAAAGCTTGATCTCCAGTAACTTGTCTCAACATGGGAAGCAAGTTTGTTGAAAAAATAGGAATGGTAGTGTTGTCCACTCCAACGGTGTAGGAGTGATTGGAGCTCAGTCCACAGATTTGGCAGCCCAGGCCCGCCTCTGCTAAAGGAAGTGGATCACTGACGTTGGATTTGCGGGCGTCCTCAACAATCCAGGAATCCAAAATTAGTGGAGTGTGTGCGTGGAGGATGTCTGCTGAAATCAAAATGGAGGGGTTCTCCTCAAGCCTCTGCAGCGTGGTGACCACGCGCTGGCGCAAGAGCTGAATGGGGCGATCCCACTGTGGCAACGCCACGGTTGCTTGTGTGCCACATGAGTTTGAATCGAGAGGTCAGCCGCAACGAAACGAAGTTGTCTCGTCAAGGCCTGGGCCAGTTGCGCGATTGTTGCAGTGTCAAGGCCAATTGCTTCCAGCCCATAGATGGCAATTGGACACACTCAAGTTTTCCAAAGTTCATATCGTTGAACAAGTGGCAATATGTTCCTTTTGAACCAAGGATGCACTTGTCGAAACAGTTCCTTGCAAGATCTGAGTCGCGGGAATCTCAAAGTCTTCTGATCAGCACCAGTGAGTTGAAGTAGCTCGTGTTGTTTTTTGCCTTCCCAATGCAGTTCTTTTTGGCCCAGTCAGCTGCTTTGCCCTTCACGGTGAGGAGCGCGGTCAACTTGTTCATGTTGATGATCACGCCATGTGTTTTCAGCGCTGCAATCACCATGCCCAGGTATTTGAGCCCAGTTAAACAGGAGCGCTTGTCGCGAAAAATGATACACGCATGACCATCATCGGCATAGGATGCGCAGTGAGAGCGCACGCGCTCACGATTTGTCTGTTGCGCGGTGTTCTGCAAAATCAAAACAATGAAGCAGCTCCAGAAGAATGGCGCTCCTCTGCGACCCAGCGAAATGTTTTCAAGGACTGTGAGAGGCCCTTCCACTGCAGAACATATTCTGTGTCAACATGCCAAGTCAAGAACATCGATCAATTGCGTTGGACTAAGGAAGTTCCAAATACCGCAGAGCTTGCCACAGCGATTCTCGTGGCATGGCATCAGAAAAAGTTGACATCCGCCAATCAGTTCAGGATGGTGAACTGGTGCTCTCTCACTTTGGATGCATCATAGCACCAAGCCTGCATCAGGTGCTGGACTTGCTGCAAGTGACATTCATCCCGTCCGATAGCTTCAATAGCTTCCACTCTTCCTCTGTAAGGCAAGTAGGCGAACGGTGGAAACCAGACCAGCCTGTCAAAACAAAGTTGCCTTGCGCGTTGAACTGCGGACTTTGCAGTGCAATGGGATGCGCGGGTACACTCTTCTGAGTTGGGATATGTTGAAGCTCCAGGATGCTGAATGGCAGTTGTTCCAGTGAAAAGGATGAGACTGATAGTCCTGGCCCTGCGTAGGTCTGTGCCATATGATCCAGGATCCACACCAGCTTCTCCTGTGGTGACATGAGAAGGCCATCATGTTTTCGATGCTGAGGACGCTTGTGATGTACCTTGGGGTTTGTTGGAAATATCTATGTACTCTGCTGCTTGCCCAATGATCCCCTGCGTTGAAAATAATCTCCTGTATGCGTCTCTGTCGTCTGACACTGTGATGCCAAGTCTGAAAGACACTTCTGGGCCAGGTGACTGAGGATGCTTCTCGTGCTGAAGGAGGAGGTGCTGCGCCATTTCTCGAATTTGGGTCAGGTTGCGGTTTGGATTAAGCTTGGCCTATGCCCAGTTTCATTGTTTCGCCATCCCCGCCATTTGTGTTGGGAATATGATCAGGTTGGTGAACCATGGAGCGCAGGTAAACTGGGCGACAAGTGAGACTGTCTCCCTCTCTATGCTTCACCAGTGCGAAATTAGTTCGCGATTGCGCATCGCAAGGTCCAGTGTTTGTAGGTCCAATTGAAGTGTCCCAGGTTCAGGTGCACACTACCTCCAAGCCATGTCGTGGGAGAAGACGAGCAAATTGATCTGCATCTGGATGTCTGGAGCCTTGAGATCTGCCCCACGATGTGCTGAAATCTGAGAGGCCAACACTGTTGCGCAGGTGTTTCAGGGATGCAATCACCAGCTAGAACCCAAATATTCCTATTAGGCAGGACTTTCAGGAGGAGGTCACACTCGTGCCAAAAAGCCTCTCGATTTTGTTTGGTCGCGGCGTCCTGCGCGCTCCAAACTTGTTGATGTGCATTCACTATGTCGATGTTCGTGTGTGGCGTGTAGAGTCTGACATGTAGGAGCCTGCCAGTAATAACGGTTTTCCATGCAACTTGGCTCATGTTACAGAACTTCTTTCTGATGATCGTGAGGAGTCCTCCAGAAGAGCCAGCAGGCGCACGTAGATATATAGAAAGACATCATCCTGCCAGTCTCCAGCGAAGGTCCATCTGGTGACATGAAATCAATGTGCTGCTTGGATAGCTCTTGAGAATATCCCATTTGTGAACGCCCAAGGCTGCAACGTTCCAGGTTAGTCTAGTGAGTCTGTTCTTCTTGTTTTTGGCAGGAGGATGTTGATTTGGTGGAGGTGGTTCCAAGGTTGTAAATTGGGAATCATCAACTAGATGGTCATATGAGACTCCTAGTTGCGCAGGTGTGAAAAGTCGTCCTCTGCACCATGTATGTCCATGCGAAATGGCCCGTTTGACTGCTTCAAAGATATGCTAAGCTCGTTCCCTTATGGTAGCTTCTGGTGCCTGGCGCAGGACTCATGTAGTCAGGTCCTGTGCCAGGTGAGTGCAAAGAGAACAGGTTCTTGATCTCCAGAATCGGTGCCTCCAGGTCGGAGCTCTGATGGTGAGTCTCCTTGTTCAGCCTAGTTCATATCCAAGTACACCAAAGCAAGATCAGGCGCAAGATGATCAGGATCAGGAGCGCTGGAACAGGAGAGGAATGATCAAAAGCAAAGCTCCAGAACAAAGGCAGCAGCAGCGCCCGCAGCAGTGGATCAGATTGAGGCAGGCCACAACCAGGAGAGCCGGTCTTCATGGAAAAAGATCGTCCACCGAGGGCATGGGCCAGCTCCTTTGAGCATGGCCCTCATCATCATCATCATCATCATCATCATCATCATCATCATGCAGGTGTACACACGCAAACGGTGCAACTGCCACAACACACCTACGTAGATACAGGTGTTTGCACATAGGTGTGTAGATCCAAGTGTTTAGATACAGGTGAAGACACCTATGAAACCTACCTGTGCAACCATAACTTCGACATTTGTATTGAACTTTTCTTACGGCGGCGGGCTGGTCCGGCCGATGCTCAGGGGTTCTTACTTCAAGTATAGGAAGAGACGCATGTGTGCGCTTTCGAGCTGTAGGGTGCCGCTGCTGTGTGCCCGTGCGAGCTTGGGCGATGGTGCCGCTGCTGTGTGCCGCTGCTGTGTGCGTGCGTGAGCTTGGGTGCTGGTGGCTGCTGCGCGCGACTGTTGTGCGCGCGTGGGAGCTTGGGCGCTGGCGCCGCTGCTGTGTGCTGCTGCTGTGCGCCGCTGCTGTGTGCGTGCGTGAGCTTGGGCGCTGGTGCCGCTGCTGTGTGCGCGTGGGAGCTTGCGTGCTGGTGCCGCTGCTGTGTGCTGACGCTGCTGTGTGCGTGCGCATGGGAGCTTGGGCGCTGGCCGCTGCTGTGTGCGACTGTTGTGCGCGTGTGGGAGCTTGGGCGCTGGTGTGTTTGGGAGGTTGGGCATGCCGCTGCTGGTACGAATACTACAAGCGGAGCGGGCCCCGCTCCCCTGCGCGAGCAGGCCCCGCTCCCCTGCGAATCCCGCTCCGTAGAAGGCGCTGCAAGCGTACTCGTAGTCGTAGTCGTAGTTGTAGTCGTGGCCCTAGTCGTAGTAGTAGTAGTAGTAGCAGTAGTAGTGGTAGAAGTAGTAGTAGTAGTATTAGTAGTAGTAGTAGTAGTCGTGGTAGTGGTAGTGGTAGTGGTAGTAGTGGTAGGGGTAGTGGTAGCAGGTAGCAGTGGTAGTAGTGGTAGTAGTGGTGGTAGTGGTAGTAGTAGTGGTAGTGGTAGTAGTAGTGGTAGTGGTAGCGGTAGTGGTAGTGGTAGTGGTAGTGGTTGTTGTTGTTGGTAGAGACAAAAACAGCTGCCCAACATAGTTGTCACATGTTGCAAGTCAGGGATTTCAAAGGGACACTGTTAGGGATAGTCGAAGGTTTGGAGAGATGTTAGTAGCTGGACCTCTTGTCGTTGTGGTACTCAAGTCTTGGTTGGTCTGCTTCTTGTTTTTTGATGTTTTTTGGGATGTTGTTCTGGAGGGGGGGTCAAAAAACTAGACGACGGTTGGCCCGAGAGCGAGACATGTAATTGTCCAGCGCTGTCGAAAAGATGTATAGAAAGAGAGAAAGAGAGGGTGGATGTGAAGGAGTGACAGTGTGGATGTGCAGGTGCGATATAGATCTGTAGATGTATGGAGGTGGAGAGGTAGATCTGTGGATGTGAGCGTGCGAAGATGTCAATGCACAGAGACGAGAGAAAAGATATGTAGAAAGAAAGAAAGA